ATAATAATTGTTTCGAACTTGGGTTTTCCATCGATGCCATAATCCATTGGCTCTTTGCCCATATATGCTCCAGCTGCGGCTTTTGCTGCGTAGGCATTAGAGTTATCCATTCCATTACCTGAGCCAAATCCTGGCATGAAAAACATAGGTGATCCTTTTCTTGAATCCTTATATGGTCCTGTATGTCCAGCAAATGCTGCTGCATCAGCAGTTAGACCGATATTGTCGCCCATGAAATCTTTACCACCAGTGCTACCTTTGCCGCCTATTGAAAGAAGTATTTCAGATCCTCCTAGAGACGATTTTTTGCCAGAATAAGAATCACTTGGATATCCAGTTAGTCCTGCGGCTGCAGCTGCGGCCCCTCCTCCAATAATGTCTCCTTGGTGATAAGCGGGACTGTCATAAAGACCACCGAATCCGCCTGCAAACGTGTCATAATTATGGTCAGCTCTTAAATCACCCAAAGCGGTCGCAGATACTGTTCTAATACATTTCGGTATAGGACAACATGAGTGTGTATCTATCAATTTTCGTTCATTTCCTGCCGGGCATGGTGGAGTTCCTAGATGATGACATTTTGCTTTGTTACATACACACTGTTTTGTACTGCAGCATTCATCAGTCGGAATGTTGACCAAGTCTTCGTAATATTCGCAGGATTCATCATTCTGTTCGCAAACTAATATATCACACTCTGCTGGAACAATTCTATATGTATAACAACAGTCATTTTCTTTTTCCTCTATCACCATTGTATTTGGCTCAGCCACAGGATATCTTTGGCAGTCAGCGTTTCTGCATCGTACTTTTCCCGATGTATAACATGTGCACAATTCACAAGCATCAGATTTTTTTGTCCAGCATTCTCCAAACTGTCTCTCCCAACCCTCTTCGTCAACGCAAATTGGTAGTTCTTCCATCGCTTTTATATCTTCTGATTCTTTGATACCTGGGAAGCCACTACCATTTGCTGAATCAAACTGGAGCTTACCTTGATCAGTATCAGGGCTCTCAGCTAATGTTTTATCGTTTGCAAAATTGCCAGATGCAGAGGCGAATGCATCAACTGACCCACTTGTATTTATGTCTCCTGCAGTCACACTAGGAATGTACTGAGTTTTTTCAATCCAAAAGTTATCTAGACCGTTTGACTCGGGTTCGCCTGACACTAGTGTACCTTTCACTTCAGAGCTTGCATCACTCCATGCTACGATCTCGTCTTTCGTCGACTTTTTGCAATTCGAAATCTCTGTTTTGTGAAGGTTGTTGTTCCAGCAATAATATCGAAGACACTTTTCTACGTCATCAAATTGGGTACCCGGCTATATGCAGACACAAAATAAAATATGCCCTAAGTTTAACACATCAACGTCTCAACAACATGTTGCGTATCATGGTATCACATTAACTTGTATAATGACGTAAAGGGCATTGAAATTGTGCTTTGTGTCATGTGAGTTGTATATTGCTCGTGTCATGGTATGTTTTTTTACATCTTTCTTTCAAACATTCATCACACAGACAGACGGTTACATGTAAGGGAAAGAGGAATAATTTCTAAATAAAACGACTGGTTGCCAGGAGCGTAGCCAAGAGGGTCGGAATTTAAAAAAAAAAAGCATTTTCCGTATCACACGTAGCAAATTTTCGAAGCTTAACGCCTTTTAAACCTCAAGACTCTTGAAAATCCACGTTTTCCGACCTCCGGCGAACCTGCTAGCTGTTACGGTCTAACTTAACCATTAGAATTTTCAGAATTCCTCCTTCCTGGATACGCCCCTGGTGGTTGGCAACATATTGAGATTTTTTGTTTCAATTGATAAAAAAAATTGTACAGTCATTTGCAAGTTGTTTATAATTCTCAATACTTTCCAGCATTCTAAATTTGTTTTGTAAAAGGCCAGATTCGAACATAGAAAATACATTATAATTGAAAAGCTTCTGGACTTAATCTAATTTAGAATAGAAAATAAGGATTTCAACTTCATTGCTTACCGCTAGGACTTTCCCATCTGATGTCATACAAGGGCAAGCATCTGGTCTAACGCAACTGCGTGGATTTCTGAGAACATGTCCGGCTGCACAGCTAATGCACGTATCATCTTCACATGTATCGACGCAAGCCGATTTCGATTCTGCATACACGCACTGGGGTGTGGCCAACTTCCATGCATGACAAACGGTGTCACAACGGAAAGAGCACACATTGACAGTAGTGCATTGTTCTTAAAATATAAGCATTATATAGGTTTATTGCGGGAGATAAGTATGACCATTTATTTATTGTTATACAAAAAAATGTAGTGTCTGTACCAGGTTAGCCATAATGGCCATAAATTTATTCCAATTTTATTTTAGTTCTTTTACGAATTCGCGGACTGTCTGCATTAGCCAAGTGAATATACCCCCTGCCAATAGTTACCTCCATATTGGTACACACCAAAAAATACCAAAAAGCGCCAAAAAATGCATACAGTGTCAAACACGAGCTAGATAGATATTCTTGTTGGCGCAGGGTGAAATGGCGGTA